ACCGCTATCTCAGGTCTTTCCTTATATCCTCTGAAGTTCGTACCCGTCTCCTTTCCCATCCTCAAGCACCTAATTGCAACAAGGTAAGGCAATCGTCATATCAGTGTTTGCACTGTCAGCTCTATCTTTGTAAGGACTTTTGCTTCTCAGAATTTCATAAACTTTGAAGCATGTATGATGTCGAGCAAACTGGAGGGAAAGCGAAGTATTCTGTAGAGTAATCATTTCCCCCATCGCGATCGTTCCTTGATGGCTTTTGGAATCAAATAGGGCTGGTGGCCCCGGGGTTGCGCTTAGGACAAGTAGCTCGCGCTGTTTTACCATGATCTGTTCCCAGTTGGTGTACCAAATGAGAATAGCCTATGGTAAGGGAGGGTGGCTAAACCCGCACTAATCGATTAGTGCGCACGCTAAAAGAATGTGAAATTCGGCAACAAGGCAAGGGATGGGCTGATAATCTGAGGATGGGTAGCCGGTCCGAAGGGTTTTTCCTGCGTGATGTTCTGCCTGGCAGGTTCCGAGCCTCGGTGGAGGAATTCCGACGTGAGAGTACGATACATAGGATTCTAGTTTTGGATACATTTTGCGGGGGATCGAGCTGGGTTAGCGCTAGGGGATTGTGCCGATATGGTACAAGTACAAGTGCAGCATTGTACGACTAGAGCAATTTACTGCGGTTGCTTGTTCGTATAAAGTGAAAACAGTGCATTCCGTAGAGAACAAGAAAAGTGTAGCATTAAGTTAAGTAAAGAGAATCCAAGAATTAGCCCCACGCCCCCCGCTTCCCCGCAAGAAAGGAACGCCATTTCCAAAAGAAAACCAAGATAAAACTCCCAGACCCACTTCAAATCCACCGATTAATAGTAGCCCCCTTCCCATCCTCGTGGGCCGCCGTGACAAACTCCTCAATCATGCAATTGTACTCCCTGGCACACTGGAACTGGAGCCCATGCCCACAGCCCTCAAAGACCCTCTTCACGACCCTGCCCCCGGCGGCGATGCCCCGGACGAGCACGTCTGAATGCCTGCACTCGATCATGGCATCCAAGTCGCCGGTGCAGACAAGGATATGCCTGATCCGCTGGCCGAGCACCTTCAGCCGCTCGGGACCCATATAGTGCCAAGAGGCCGCGAGGCCCTGGAGGAGGAAGCCCTGGTAGACAGGCGGCGGGAGGTTCTCCACGCGCCACAGTTCTTCCGCCACGTACCTATCGCTATTGGTCGGGAAAACGCCGAGATCGTCGGGGGCTTTCAGCCACGCCGCTGTAAAGATGTTTTCCTGAGCGGCCGCGAGGCGGGCAGGCAACGATCTGGGCACTAACATGTATGCGCGGCGATATAGAAGCTTATACCATGGCTGTGTCGAGCAAAGGGAAGAGGAGGAGGAAGAGGGAATGATGTCAGAAGCAAGACTCGATGTTTTCGTATTCGTGTTCGTATAGTGGTATGCAAGTGGGGTTCGAACTTACAATTGAGCTGACAAGACGGGCTGCTGTGCTCTGCAGACATAGAGAGGCAATTCGATCCGGTATTAGGAAAGCCCTAACCGAGAGGTTGATTAACCGATAGGAAAGCGGAGCGTGCAAAATCAGGCGATAGATAAAAAGATGACTCGGGGTGAGATGTGGGACCCATTATAGATACCTTAGGTAGGGGAAGAAAAGAAAGGGAACCCGAACTGGTGGGGGGGTTTATCGTTCGGGGAGAGGGTGGGGGGGGGGGGGAGGGTCCGGGAGGGTAGGCCGGTGGGCTTACAGTTCCTGAGCAATCATTCCTTCATGACCATTAAGTGAGTGAATTGCGCCTAGAAAGTCAAGGGACGGAATCGCACGGGCTACCAATTGGGAGAGAAGGTTGGTACGGTACTTACCCCCCATAGATACTCCTATCACGTGCAATTGGTTTGGATCAGTCCATCCCACATGCTGCAGGAGGTCGATTACATCCTTTGCCATTTCGGACGTGGAGTATCTGGCATAAGGCTTGTCGCTGTTTCCGACCCCTGGGTCGGGTTAGCAATTGCCCCAGTACCCAAGCATTGAAAGTGCCGTACGCGACCCCCAATTGTCAAGGGAAAAATGACGCTTGAGGTGCCGGTAATAGACTGCGCTCCAGGAAATCTCTCCTTCAAGGAATACGGGATCATGAATACCTCGACTATCAAAGACCAATGACGTGTATTTGTCTTCGTGTTCATGGCCGCTATCATCAAGCGGAATCACAGTTGCGAGAATCAGCCCATGGAATAGATGAAAAAGCAAGATTCAAGACGGGGATATTAGGAAAGAATCGGGCAAGCAAAGCAAACAAGCAAATTGCCGGTAATGGACGAATACTGTAAGACGCTAGCTCGTTTTCCAAAGAGGAAGAAGACGAGCAGTGACAAAGGGAGGGAAGGGGAAAAAGGAAAGTGTCAAGGCTAGAAAGATCTACTTACAAATATCTGGTTTGCTGGAAACACCGAATGAAAGCGCGTAGGAACGGATTAGATTACAACTCATGCCGACCGTTCGCACCCAAAAGTGGTGGTGGAGGAGGAGGATTGGGAAGCCTTGCACGCAATACCCGTTGTGACTTACACGATGCCACGCTATTTTGGGTGCGTTCAACCCCATAATCCACTTTGATTGGGCGCGTCAGTGTGGTTCTGCCTCGTATCCTCGTATGAATCATTTTCCCTCCCGCCATCTCCTGCCACGGAGGGAAGGCCGAGCGGAGACGTACCACAATATGGATTGCGCCCGTGCCGTGAACTTCATAGGCAATATTGATCGGCCCGCCGGACCTGTTCTTCGCGACGGGGGCAGCACCCTGCCGACTCGGGGTCTGCACTTGGATCACGGTGGACCAGGCCGGGTGGCCCCGAATTTCTTCCAGGGGCAAGGACATTGGTGGATATGGACAAGTGCCGGTATATCGAATGCTGGAATCCGGTTGCGGTACTGTCGCGATTACCGGTACCGCCGTGGATGGGAAGCTGGGGAAGCTGGGAAGGGGGGGTGAAGTGCTGCAAGAGATGGGCAAACGGAGAGAACGCAGCAGATGCATTTGGGTAACAGTCATGCGTGGTCTAGCGGGAGACAAATGTCGAGACCAATGGGACTTCGTGTTTTGCTTTTTCTTAGGGGGAACACTCGATAAGTTAACTTTCCCACAGCATCTAGCATCTGCCCCCTATGATGGTTTACTTTGGGCGGTTGGATTGGCACTGCAGCAGGCGGGAGCCCGACCGAGAACGAATACGGTGCGGATATCCGGAAATGGCTCATCCGACCTGTTGAAATCTGTCAGCCCAATTTGCCTCCAGAGCCAGCGAATGACTAAGCGGGCTCCCGGGAGGTGGCCGGGGCAGGTTCGGCATATGATGGGCTTGAATATCCGCATGGGAGGGCCGCCGGCCAGTTTGGGTGATTGCACTCTCTGACACACTCTGTTACCCAGTGCTCCCATTGCAAAACCACGGCCCCAGGACTTGGGACTCTGTCACCCCGGATTCGGGTACAATGTTTGATCAGTATGATGCCGGTATCAGGGATGGACTGCAAGCACTCATCGGTTCAAGACCACGACATGGATTGGAAAGGAGAAGGGAAGAGAAATGGAGGGCCAAACCGGGCGGCAATTGAACCTTTGTTGGGGAGGGTCCGGAGCCTGCGTAGGCACAGTACCTGTACTAGTACAAGTACCGGTATGTTAGGCCTGAAAAGGAACATGTATTTTTATTTTTTTCTAGAATAATGATTCCTATGATACGATTTTGATGCGCCGGTAAGGGCATCCTGTCCCGGTGTCGCATGGAGAAATGTGGAGGGCATCAATGCCCGGGGAAAGTGGATGACGGCGATGAGGGTGGGAAGCGATTAGGAGGGCGAGTGCGAGGGCGGGATGCTCGCCGCCAACGGCAGTGCGGTACGGCACACTATTCTTACTTCCCAAATCACCAATTCCGGCTTCACTGTGGGGGTTTGTCGCGGCATTCTCGGGCTGCACAACTCTAACCTTATCGCTGGTATTTTTGTATCATGATTGTTACAAACCCTCCACTTTATTCGAGTATCATACCTGTACTCGCACCGTACTCGTATTGTACTGTAGGAGCACAGCCACGAGGGACCTGGACCTCCCGTCGAGAGTGAACCGCTCCCAGCCTTTTCAACGCGTCATCAGAATACCTGAGCAGACCTCTTGGGATAGAGTTGTTTAAACGTTTGCGTGGGAATGGGCTGGGGTACGGTGGCTGGTAAATGAGGTTTAGATATTCCATTGATTGACAAGTGGGTTAAGTACTCGTACAGTGCCTACGTCTTCATCGGGGCTCATTATGGCCGCGAATACTTTGCGCCGGAATCCCGAGGCTGTGTTTATGGTATCAGATCATGCAATACCGGTATGGAGATGTGAAAAGTGTCAAGGGATCAATGCAGTGGTGAACAGGCATCGTTGAAATCCTGCTGTGACGCAAGAGTGGTCGTACGGTATGACGGTAACAAAGGGAAGGATCAGGGAGGATACAAACTCGCACGAAAGAAGCTGTGCCTTGATGGATTGACGGGATCTCGACCACACTGCGACGGATTGTATTATTCGGAGCATTCTGTACGAGTCTCGAGCAGTGGATGTCTGAGGGGGGGAGACAGGGGTACCCCACGAGCCGGCCTGCTAATACTCCGTTTCACAAGGACAGGGTTAATGGATATGTGAATTTACTTGTAAGGAAACCGACAGAGCTGGCCTTGGAAGAGCACTCCTGAGGGAATCAAATTCTACCGTACCGGTGCTACCAGCTGGGAGCCGGCCCCTCATTCTTCCTTTGCACCCGCACCATTGAACTCGCGCTCGCACTCGCTCGTCCCCCCCATACCCTCCATACATTCATCATTAGTCAGGAGGTAGAGCTTTCTGTTTCGACGCCCCCCGACTCTTCTTTTTAACTTTAATCATTAGACCTGGCAGGGGATAGCAAGCGAGAAGGATACTAAAGTGAGAGGCCAGGGAGAGACGGTCCGGGGAGAAGGGAGGAAAAAATCGAGCCAGGAAGAAAACACAGAGTCCCAAACACGCACAGCCCCCCCATCGAGAGGATAGAAAGGAGGCAAACCGAGACTGAAAAAAGGAAGAAAAGAGGGAAGAGCAAACTCGCAGCAAACTTGGCGACCTTTCATCATTGCGTTTATCAGACTACGGTGCCCGCCCTCACGCACGCCGCCTCTGCTCTGCTCTGCTCTAATCTTTTCTTCTTATTCCTTATCCCTTGACTGCATCTTTTGACTTATCTCCGTCTCGTCAAATCTCGCGCAAACTCCTTTCTTCGCCGATATATGTACACTAGCATACCTGTTCTACAGTAATCAAAACCAAGCATCTTTTATCACTATCGGATCCGGGGGGAAACGGATCCGCCAAACCACCCAAACTTTCACACAAACGCCCTCGACCGGTGCCCGCTCAGGCTTCGGCAGGGACGGAGAAAAGGAGGTTAGGGATATGGACCCTAACGATATGACGTCTCCGTCATCCACGCATTCGAACCCGGGGCCGCCGAATTTTTTCGGTAATGCCAATGGAGGAACGACCATACCGGCTACCATGTTTAATCCGGGACAACCATCACCCGATGATGGGGGTAGTGATCCGAAACGCAGGAGAATAGCTAGGGCTTGTGATATGTGCCGTAAGAAGAAGGTTTGTCTTGAACTCGAGCATTTGTTTTGGTACGGAGCTCTTCTGGAAATTGGAAGGCTGAGCGATCTATAGATTAAATGCGACGGAAAGCTCCCGGCATGCACCCATTGCACGAATTACAAGACGGAATGTGTCTTTACGCTTGTGGAGAAGAAAAGGAATCCCCCGAAAGGGTTTGTCGAGCCTTGCGTCATGCCCGAGTATTTTTGACAGTGCCAAAATCTTAAGCTGACCCCCACGAAACAGCGCAAAATACATCGAGGGTTTGGAAAACCGACTCGGTAGAATGGAGTCCCTCCTTAAGCTCTCCGGTTTGTTGCCTGAGGGGGATGGCAAGACGGATTTGGGGGATTTGGAACGTCGTTTACAGGATCAAGTGCAACAGTCGGGTAGTGCTGGGTCGGTAAAGACGCCATCTAATGTTGGCAGATCGTCGTCAGAGTCGATGCGGGAAACTCCGAGCTCGTCAGCTTTACAGTCTGCTGTGAATTCACCGGCTCTCCATAAAGAGGAAGATGAGGTTGAAGCGTTGTCCGATCAAATGTGTTCTCTTGTTACAAGCAACTGTGGCGAAACAAGGTTTATTGGTAGGCTCTTGCTGAAGCATTACTGCTTGGCAGAATTGCACTCTAATTCTTGGCCTTATTGCTACAGGTTCGTCGTCTGGATTCTCAATATTTTCGCCCAAAGGAATCCAATGGGTCAATGAGAAAACAGGTGACAAGAGCTTTCAACAGATGATCATGGAAGCGACATCCTCGGAATCAAGATTTGGGGTGTGGAAACCAGACGTCTTCGGTCCCCTGTTTGACCAACGTGGAAAGAACCCACTTCCACCACGAGAACTGGCTGCTATCCTTGTACAAGGTAAGGGTCTACGTCTTGGTTTATGCTTGTGATCCTCGTAACCCTTTTGTCCGCAACAGATTTCTTTCAAAACTTTAATACAATGTTCCCGCTCTTCCACAGGCCGACATTTGAACACCTTTTTGAGAAGCAGTACTCGGATGATCCCCCGAACCACTCGGGTTGGTATGGTGCATTCAACATGCTTCTCGCGATCTCATTCCGATTGCGGATCACACATACGGTAGCGCCCGATGATGAGCACTCCGTGTCTCACGTGCAGAAATCCTGGCTTTACTTCCAGAATGCCGCAACTGTTCTCACTGAGTTATTGCTAAAAAATACCGATTTGTTAAGCATTCAAGCGATCCTGGGAATGGTATTGTCCAATGCACCGGCAAATTGGTTCCGAATGCACAACATACTGATGAAGCGCTGTTTTTAGGCTTTGTACTTGCAAGGAACAGCAAACCCTCAACCATCATATTTTCTTATTGCCGCTGCGGTCAGGATATCGAATAGCATTGGTATGCATAGGCGTGGCAATTCCTTCGGTCTGAATCGGGTTGAGGTCGAGCAGAGGCGAAGGGTGTTCTGGATAATGTATCTTTTGGACAAGGATATGGCTCTCCGGTCCGGACGTCCACCGTGCATCAATGATGACGACATTAGTGTTGAGCTTCCCGATGAAGATCCCGCGGACGGCATTGGGAATGTCCTACTGAGGGACGGAAAGGGAAAGACCAACCTATTCCGGCTTATGTCTACTTTCGCTGTGATTCAGAGCAAGGTTTACATGCAATTATACTCTGCCAAAGCCTCCAAGCAGTCAGACGGGGAGTTACTGAATACGATTGGAGACCTTGATAAGGAACTTGAAGAATGGAAGGAAACAGTGCCAGCGGATTATCGGCCAGAGAATGAGATTTCTATGGATGACGGACCTTTGGTTCTGCATCTCGTGATGTTGCACTTTGCTTACTACAACTGTTTAACAACCATTCACCGTATGTCAATACATCACGGATACTGGACCAGCAGACTGTCAAATTATGCTATTGCAGGACTGAGCGCCAGGCCGCTGAACCCTAGGGTGTTCTCGAGCGCGGCGCTCTGCGTGTCGGCAGCTAGGGCATCAATTCACCTGATCAAGTTCATCAATAGACATGATTACCCGTGCATATGGTAAGGCATCCCCTTGCCCCAAACTTGCCTTCCTCCCACCGTGCTTGTGTTCACAGCTATTTAACAGCTTCGCGGTTAGGTTGATCATGTACTATCCAGTATCCGCACTGGTGACGCTATTTGCAAATGTCTTGCAGAATCCTCAAGACCCACGTGCGCGCTCTGACCTTAGGCTTATGAATGTAGTGGTGGAGTTTCTACAAACTGTGCAGAACGAGGATGAAAGCGAGACCGGGGAGCATAACGTTTCTCCGATACAGCGGATGTTGACTGTCTGCGGGGAGTTCCATCGCATATCACAGCTCGTCTTGGATAAAGCGGAGAAGGAATCCATGACTCGGCGGAAACGAAAGAACGATGAGCCGAAGCCGCAGAGTTCCGGTGCCCAGCACTCTGCGAACTCGACTAAATCTGCTAGTTTGTATGCGACAACACCAAGCACTCCTCCTGCGAACGCTGCGTCGCCACCGACCAGCATTTTGAACCAGGATGTGACCTCACAGGTTTGCTCCCTCGCTCTCCCTACCCCTTCTCTTCGATGAAACTGCGTATACTGACCTTAGGTTTTTCAGATGTATGGCGAATTTGGAACAACGTTCTCACCTACCGGCTCTATGTCTTGGCTGGGCGAGATCCCAAACCCCAATCCAGCCCAGAACTTCCCAGTATCGCCGTCGCCCTCACATAACCCCTTGCCACCGTTGATATCCTCTTCCTCCTTTCAGCAACCCTTTGTACCACAAGACCTCTGGCAGATGCCGATGACCTTCGAGTGGGATTGGGCAGACGTCAGTACGAACATGGCATGGACTGGGCAAGACCCTTCCGGGGCTTAGTTGGGGTTTGCACAGGGGTTTTTTATTTGATCTGGAGTCTGGTTGGGATAGGGCACCGCTTTTTTACTTTTCTTTTGTGTTTCGCCTCCACTATCATTGATGAGGAAGGGATATAGGCGAGTGGAGGAGGAAGTGATGCTATTGGAACACAGCCGCATCCGCAGAGTTCTCATATCCTTCTGGGTGCTGCAAGCTTTAGGAAATGCTTTCCTAGTCCTCTCTCTTTCTATTATTCGGTAGGAAACGGATTATGATAGAGGTTTATGGTGCCCTTAAACCATGTCCGAAAACACTTGTCTGAAAGACTCCGGCCGTTCCGTAGCCGATCGGTATTACTCATGGGGCATGGGAACTCTACGAACGCGGCTGTATGTATATCCAACAAACCAGCTAGCTAACTTTTACATCTCTCTCCTTGTGTCTCTTCCCTTTCTTCTGGCGAGGACCGTTAGCAGTTTGCATGACAAGGGCATGGCTATGGGAAAAAGGGAGGATCTGTATTTTTTTCCACTGTTTGTTTTCGTTATTTACACACCTGCTTTCTTTTCTGCCCTGCCATTTCATTTCAGGTTGATACATGGGCCCGGGCTTCCCGGCTAACACAAAATATCGCGGAGTTTGCGTTGGGATTTTTACTGTTTGTCTCGCTTGTGTTTGGAAGGTTCAGTTTGGAGGGATGGATCGGGGGCAAAGATCAGATGTCAGCGTGGAATAATATTGCAATCATCTCTACTCTATTACATCCTACTCTCGTTATGCTTTGCTTCTGGTTGCCGTTGTGGAGGGGCCGTTAGGCGCGGTGATTGTGGATCGTGATATCCGAGTCCTTCTGAAACCAACCCCAACCTTCAAGGGCTGTTCCACCAACACACTGGCTTCCTTTCAATAGTTCCGTGTGGGTTTGTATGCGCGGTGGTATGATATTATACTGAATGGTGTATAGCGAAGAGTGTGGCTGACATCAACACAGCAGTTTGATACTACTTACTGTACCCTGCTATACGGTTTAGGATCACGCTCACGCTCGCCGGTGCCCAATCTTTTCTTCTTTTCATTTACCGCATACTGGGGCGCTGGACCGTGCTGTTTCTGTTCCGTCCGTGCTTGTGCTGAGATATTTGGTGGTAGGGTTGATACGTAGTAAATTACTCGTACCGGTATAGTACCCACCGAGCATCAATAACTCCTAACGAATAGCTTTATACTCGTGGCTAACCTGGATACCTGTACTGTTGATCATTGGATGCTGTGATTATGGTAATATGGGGCTCCTTCCGGGGGATTACCATCCATTGAAGCTATTTTCCTTTTTTTTTTTTTGCAGAAAAGTAATGGTGCTCCATGTTGAAGGTGGGTTGTCAATAGTGTAGGTGAGCAGAGGGGGAAAGTGGTGGAAGGGGCGAGGGGACCCTGGGAGCGGTCTTGAGTATCGGCTGGCCAGTTGTTAGGATTGCGTATCATACTAGATTCTCATACCAGGTTTGGGGAGAGAGAGAGAGAGAGATTCTCGTGTGGCATTATTCCAGAGGAGATATCATAATATCATACTCGTGTGGTTGGGGGGGGGGGGGAAGAAAGGCTTTGAGAGTAGAGGGTAGTCTAGTTGGTGGTGGTGGTAACTTGGTATGATATTGATAATTGTTCTCACGGTAATCTTGAAATGATAGCACATATCATACCAGCCTTTGCACCCGCGCTCATATTATCATTCGAGACGGTACCCATTGGACAATAACACTCCATCACCACCACCACCACCACCACCACCGCCACCTCATCCTCCCCCCTCCACCTCCCCAAGATAGCTTCAGCGTAAGGAGGTGCGTGTGTATCATAGCTTGATTCATATCCTAATCACGCTTACGAAAAGGGCAGAAATCGTCCCTCCATTCCATTCCATCCATCATTGCGAGTTCCAGTTTGGTGATTCTACCGGCTGGGATAGTCTAATAGCATCCGCGTAGATGTTATGCCCCGGAATGGACTATCAGTCTGCTGAGGTATTATATATTATATATATATAATGCCACCAAAATTTCCACCGGTACGGTATACGGATACGATATCATAAAGGAGGAAGTAAAGCACGGACCATTCAATGATATAAATCAACAAACCCGAGTTTACCCTCCCCCCCCCTCCACCCCCACCACCACCCATCCCGGCACAGCACAGTACGGTACTCGTATAACGGCAGTAAGTTACCCGCCAAGTGGCTCACCCACAACCTATCGGCACTCACGCTTTCCCTCCCCTTTCACATCCCGGTTGTGATATGATAACGAAGGAACCTAATTTACATATCATACCGTATCCGAGGGTGGAAATGACGACTATCTATCTATCCATCTATCTATTCGTGATGGGGTTGGTCTAGCTTACTTATCGGGGGGCGAGTAAAGCGAACCAAGAACATCATAACCAATCCCCCAGTGGTAGATATGTCAGAGGACAACATGCAAAACGCACAACAGCAACAACAAAAAAAAAAGTGAATTTTTTTCGCTCGAGCGAAATGCCGCAGACGATTGCCATAGTACAGTACGGTACTCGACAGGAGCGTGCCAGATGCACCCGCAGGGCGTTAACTTTGTCCGTTTTTTAAACGATCCAGTACCGATATCGCAACCATCCAGAGCGATGGAATGGAAAAGAGGAAGAGAAGGTGGCATTTCACTTTCTAGTGAAGTGTCGTGGTCGTTGTGGTCCATCTAATATCTCATAATCCCATGTTCGACCAATCTCACCTCACCTCTTTGTGACTGATTGGAGTGAAGGATACGATGGTGGGGGGGGGGGGGGGGATGGGGAAAAGTAAAAAAGATTGAGAATTGAAAAAGAGGGAAAGGAAAAAAAAAACCGTTGAGATGTTATGAATTGAACTGGTGGGTATCAGCGGGAAGGAGAGTGAGTGAGTGAGTGAGTGAGCTTCAATCTGGAATTGGGGGTTGCTGTTGTTGTGTTTCTTGTGGTTAGTCAGTTCTGCCGGTGCGATACTTGCGCCATACCGGTACTCGAGTACCGTAGACTGCCGTGGCTGGGTGGGTGGTTTGGTTCGCCTTGCGGGAAAGGGAAGGCTTGCATGGTTGGTTTCAGAGGAAGGCATGTGGTGGGATCACGAAACGGCGGGGGCCTGTGAGGCTCTTTTGAGAGTGCGAATGGGAGATGGAGGTTGGGGTGTTGAGTTAAGCGGGTGTGGTTGAGGGGTATCATAAGCGAATAAGTTACATATCATACAATCGCCCTACCACCACATACTGCCCCTGCCAAGTCTTCTACACCTCATTACTCTCAACATGACCAGGTGTTCCACGCGTCCGTGCTGAACCTTCCACCTAGGACACCGGTCTACAATCTCCCCAATCTCCTCCGACTCTCTCTCTCTCCTTCTAACCTCTCACTTGCTTCCTAAAACTCCACCCTTTCATACCCGCCCTTGGCCCCTGCACATCCATGCCTTGCCCCCCTTCGCCTTCGAGTTTACCCCAGACTTTCTCCGTTGCCCTTGTGTCTCTGATATCGCTGTGCCATGCCCGGGAATTTTCATCGCCCCCTCCCGATGCGACAAAGAACCCCGTGAAGGAGCATCCCTTCCTCCGCTGTGAGGGATTGCATCTCTCATAGGAGGAAGTATGCTGGTGGGAGGTCCTATCATAGTTCAGGGTGTGCAGCCCGACCTCCCCCATATGGCGGAGGTATTGGGGGGTCTGATCCGTGAGAGAGGGAGTGTAGGTGTTTGGAGGGTGCAGGGGTAGCGGGTGGAAGGTTTGGAAATGGGAGTGGGGATCTGTGAAGGTGGCTGTCGGGTGGGGAGCGGAGGCTGTTTGCCCACGATAATCGCTTTTGGCTCAACCGGACCCCGAAGGCGAGTGATGAAGGGTTACGGAATTTGCTCTTTACAGATGGGCGGGGGGGGTAAGCTGCATGGAGATTGGTACATATCTGTTACGGATATCGGCTAGCCATAACATCATGAAGTTTCCTCCAATCACCCGGGTCCCGCCCAGCTACTACCAGTGCTGATGTACCGAACCCTTTTGGTATCCTACGTACCCTACTATACCCCCGACCTCCGGACCGCTCCCGACACCCTCTGTGAACAGCCACCAAGCCACCAATTAACTAGCAACCTAAACTCCGGGTGACAATCTATGACGACTTGTTCCTCCTCCCCACCCCTAATAACCAGAACCTCGAATATGAATAACAAACCCTCACTTACGCGAACAGAGCGAACACGCCATCACAGATACCCAACCTCTCACACCCCTGCCGAAAAAAGGGAGAAAAAGAGGGGCCCATACAGACGCGCAACGTCCAGCATCCAAATCTGACCGCGAACTACTCATCATAGCTAAAAACAGCATATACAGGCGGTCGAGAAAAATCCCGAAAATTGCACACTTGCGCCTTCGGTGCGGGGTCGGTATGAAGAGGGGTTCCGCTGTGATCTACGAGCCCGTATTGAATGGTGAGAGTCGTTTTCGCCCCTGGTGGGTGGGGCGGGACGCATAGCCCGATTGGGTAAGTGGTGAGATGGTCATGATGGTTTATTATCATTCGTTTGGGAAGGGGAGGGGGAGGGGGGGAGGGGATTGCTACATTGGGAAGGTTCGGCTTCGTCTTGATTTTGGGTTTGGGGGTGCGTGGGTTCGTATTAGGGTTTAGGGTGTGTGGGGATGGGAGGAGAGCGACCAGAGGGGATGGATAGAGTGGGCGTTGTGGACGATGGGTGTCAATCCATTGTATCGAGGGTACCCTATGGGTACGGGTAAAGCAAGGTAGGGGTATTTTTTTTTTATTTATTTATTTATTAAATTTTCATATACGCGCTTGGTGGGTTATCTTGATTTTGATCACGGTACTTTTCGCGGCTTGGTGTTGGTGGTTAATCCCGATCTTGGTATAATGGCTCTCGTGGTCCACCGCTGACGGTGGTAGCTCGTTACCTCAACATGATGATAGCGTCTTTATCTATTCCTTCCTGGTCTTGAGAATTTTGACCTCTTTTCCATGGATTCCGTCGATGATGGCGGGATAGGCTAACACGTACGATACCATCCTGTTCTGACAGCGGCGGCGGTGGCATGTGAGTGCAGTGCATTGTCTTGGCCGTGATCGCAGTATTATTTTTCTTTAGATATATATATATTCTTTCCCATGTGCCGCTGGGTATCACAGGATTGGTGGTATCGTGTAGGTGTATGTGAGGTTTGAAGAGGACTAAGGGAACAAAACTCACCTCTGTCTTCCCTCGCTAATCTGGATCTGGTGATTCCTGTCGTGCGAGAGGGGTGAGGTACCTTGTCTGTACTTGCGATACGTATTGTACAGGGCCCGGATAGATGTTAAAACTTCCGGGAATCGCGGTGGGATAAGGGAGGTGGGGGGGAAAGATAGGGAAAGAGTGAGTGAGTGAGGGGGGGGGATTAAGGGTGACAGTGGTACATACCTGTGCTTATCCTGCCCTCATACTTTCCTCTCGCCAATCTACCCGTACTCGCTCGCTCCTACTCCCCTGTAATATGTATCAGACATGTGTACAGTACTCGTTAGTATGATATCGGTATCACCATCAGGGACCGGCAGAGCAGGCTCAGTCGATCTCCTCCCCTGAGCTGTACTGGGGATACCTACCCCCTCGATCCGTCTGCCTTCGATAGGGAAGAACTAGAAAAAGAAGAATTCTCCCGTACTTAAACTTTCACCGCTCGCGCGGTTGGATTCGTAGTCATGATCAATCACTCGCGAAATACTGTGGGGCGGAGTTGGGGAAGGGTTGGATTGGCTTGAGGTATTGGATCTGCAGGAAATGTCCATGTGTGTATGTATGCATGTATGTGTGTGTGCGTGCGCGTGTGTATGCGGGTATGCGTGGGTGGGCGGAGGATTGTCGTGGCGGAAAATTGGCGAGTGGTTGATAGTGGTTGTCAGTGAAGGTTGAGTTGCCCTAGGAGTGGCGATGATGATTCATTCTACGTTGTTGTATGAGTGTATGTGCGCGCAGCTTCAAGTTGAGCTGGAGAGTACCGTACGAGTATTGTGATTGCTATTTGCTGGGTGGGTATCGGATTTGTCTGCCTTGTCGTAGGTCGATTAGTCAGTCAGAGCTAAGGAAGCAGAAAGACTCACCCTTACACCGATTCCTGTGCGAAGTGGTGTATTTCCTTTTTCCCTCTGCCCTCTTCCCTCTTCCTTCTTTTACTGTTTCACTTCTCTTCACATCCCCCTTACCCCTTCCTATCCATCCAGCCATCATCCGAGAATGGTCTGATGACCTGTTCTCTGTCCCTCGCTCACAACCCGTAATAAATCGTGAAATCAGTTCGCTTCTGGCGGTAACGTCGTGTGCTATACCTAATCCAAAATTAATCAATGTATGAAATCAGTCAAGAAGATAAATAAAAAAGAGCTCATACAGTAAACAATCCCATATGTCTATGAGCTACCTCCTTCCCTATGCCTGCCGACCGTCACATACATGCCCCCCATACGTCCGGCAGTTTGGCCGCTGGTTGATTGGATAAGTGGCTTTATTCGGGGGATCAATTGGTCGTGCTGGGAGGATGGATAGTTGATTAACCAGTTGGGTTTTTGATACATCGCGCCGATAATTATATACTGCTGGGTGAGTGGGGGTAAATAAATACGAGTGATATGTTGTGCGTATGCGTTTCGGAAGTGAGGTTCTGCAGTAAGAGAATTGAAAGAAATAGAGTGCGTCTCATGCGATGATTCTGAGGAATCGATATCGTGAATAGATAAGCTAATTTTGGGGATATAGCAGGTACCTAGATGGATAGCTAGCTAGCTAGCAACATCGAGGGGATGGGTAGGTGGATGGATGGGGTATCTCATCGCCTCATGAGTGTTCCCCTCCCCTTTTTTGCTCAGAACAATACTAGCGATGGAGGTGGTGGTGATGGTGACGACGATAACGATGACGGTGGGACCTGCTGGCTGATGTTGTCGTTATTTTTTTGATATTGGGTGGAAAGAGTTTGTTTTCTAATACTACTGCCTTTCCTTCCGCGTTTTTCGTGATTCCGATTCTGGCTGCTTGAGTTGTGCCGGGCTGTACCATGGTTTGGTTTATCCGTGCCCCGTACGCTGTACTCGAGTAAGTGGGTAGGTGCTGTGCTATGGGGTTCGGCCTAGCACTGCATATAGCTTAATTACGTCCTCAAAAAACTAGAACCTTCGGATCTGCCAACGTGCAAGCTTCTCTATTTCCCCCTCTTTCTATCAAATACTTACTTGGAAGGCATGCTTCATAGATACCTTCTTTTCTTCTTTTACTCATCTGTGCGGTACGGTAAATCATCACCCGAACGTGTCCAGCCCAAATACCAATCCCCAAAGCACTCACCAAAGATCACCGCACGGTAAGGTACTGTACGGCGAGAACGAGTATGAGAGAAGAGAGAAATTGTCACCTGATAGATGCGAAGTGCGTTGTCCACCCTCCCCCTAGCCCTTAATTAAGCGAATGAGATTGGAGAACAGTCCAAGTAGATTATCGCTGCTATCGGCGTACTGTATTCAGGGATTTTATTCGTACCAGTACAGTGCCATACCTGCAAGGTGTTTTTTTTTTTTCCTCAACCTCCCTTCTCTTTCATCCCTCTTCACCCCTCTCTCCCGCTTCCCACTTCTGAGGATGAGACCTACCTAGGTTGTGGCCTGAGGGTTTAGATGGGGCGCTTTATCAGATTTCGTGGACCAGTAGTTTCAGATGACCTGTATGCGATGCCGAGTGGGAAAATCTGCATTCGGGTATTCGAAACGGAAAAGTTCAACGTTTATTGGAAGAGAGGGTTTTTTTTCCCCCTAGTCTGCCGATTTGTTGACTGGGCTTTTCTTCTGTAGAGTACCGCGCTCGCACCCTGATTATCCTGCTTTGATGCTGATACCCGTGCTGGCTGGTTGCGGAAATTGGTGGTGGGGAAAAGTTTTCCTTTTCTTTTGGTGCTCTTTGTGGTAGTTGCGTTGGGTCAGCGCTGGAACTATTGGCTGCATGGCGATTTCCTGGCATGCATATCCAATGGCTTTTGGCAATTGCCCGTCCGTCTTCCCCTCACAGAAGCTTTTTGTGGCTTATTGCCGACTGCCGGAATATCTGCGCTTTGATTGTCAATAACGGTATAGTACTCGAGCAGTGTTACTCGGCCTTGGCGGGTGGTTATTTTATTGAAATTATACGTACTGTAGTTTAGGTTTACCGGTAGTCTATGAAAACACTACAAAGTCATCTTGAGATACTTGTATCAGAGCCAATGTATCTATTATATCTTAGTAGAAGTATCCTTTTGCCTAGTGATAGCGCGGGGGTCTGTGTTTCGTACGTATATCTCGAGTAGTTCATTAAGCGCATGAACTTCTGTTCTGATTGACTGGAAAGTGGTTCTGCCTTGCACTATTCATGTTGTCATGGATAAAGTAGGTATTTTTGTAAACTCACCTTGCGCCGGATAGGATATCTTCCAGTCCATTCAGAATTGTTTTTTCAAGAAAAATATCTTGGATGCATTGCATATTGTGCTGTCTAACCTTCGCAGTAGCAAATATGCAGGACGAAGTAGCTCATTCTGCAACTAGAGTAAATTGACCCGGGCGCCCAACGCCGTCTGTCCAATGCTCTCTCTTGGGTTCAACCCTACCAAGCCTCTTGGTTGGTTGGGGGGGGGGGGGGGGTTCGTATGCATTACGAAGTGGATTGAAGCTCAAAGGGTATTTGTGTGAGCACGCAATGGACACCCGGGTTTCAACCATGAAGGTGGCAAGCCACCACCACTTTCCCCAGTAGCCTTTTCCTTGCGCTCAGGTTCATCTAGCCATTATACGAGGTCAGCAGTACCAACATAATACATTAAAGACCGTAGGGGGTGGCGGCATTTAGCTATATGGTTTCAACTCTGGCTGGGGAGATCAAATACTTGGTAAGAATCGTAGCGCAGTAGTAACGGCTTATCGCACACTGCCTGTAGCCGAGAAGGAAAGCGGACAGCTACAGTATCGTACTAGAGCGATACCGGTGTTAGTATAGTAACAGATTGATAAGTTAATGTACCGTACTAGAGTGTGTGTCCTTCTTTCCTTTTTCTCCTTTTTTATTTTGATCTGTTGTATCGCCAGCAGAAACGGCCTTAATGCCTCGCAAATTTAGAGGTATTGTCAAAATGGTTGAGAAGGAGGGGGGGATGTTTCGATTCAACCTTATTTTACTGGCTTAGCTTGAAGGCGGCTGTTCCGATCCCACGCTTCCGGATGAATTGAAACATAGCTTTACCTATCATTGAACAGCCGGGGAGCCAATGTTTCTTTTGCTCTCTACAACCCTAAAGAAAATTATCCGGGCAAACGGCCGATGAACCCGAAGAGATAGGGGCCTTTCATTTGTTTGCTGTCGGTGAAGCTGATTTGCTGGCACGGAATTAGACAAGATGTCGGGGCAGAGGAAGAGAAATTTGATGGATTATGATAGTTTGGGGGGAGTGTGGCTGGATAAGGGGGGAACAACTGCCCAATTCTACCCCTATGAACCCTTTTTCTCTTCAGTGGGTCCCTTTGTTTCCTTCGGGGGGGGGAGAAGAAACTATCATAGGGTGAAGGTGGTGTTGAGGGGTTGGCACTGGTAACTTGCCGGTAGCACCAGCGGCGCGCAACGTGCGTAACGTCGAATAGAAATCAAACTACTTAAGAGGGAAGTGATCTGCCTCTGAAGGGTGTCAAGGGCAAGACAAAAGAAAAGGGAAGAAGGTTGCAATTGCGGCTCCGGTTGTGTTTGATATCGCTCCTAATGGTATTCTATGGATCCGTTTGTTCCCCCCGCAAGAGAAGGGAGGAAGTACGGGAGGGGGGATTAAGCACGGCCAGCAAGTCAGCAGAAAGTATTGGGTTGTGGATTGGTCTGGGTACTCTAAATTCTGTGGTTCCTCGATAGTACCATACAATACCGGTGGTATGTATGCTCGAGCACGGCTTGCATATGCATATGCAATAGCAGCAGCAGGCAGGCAGAGTGAGAGCAGGTTTTTTTTTTTTGAAGAAAGGTCCGCGTTAGCTACCGAGAAGCAACCCCCGCCACCAGATCTGCATCAAGGAAGAGAGGAATTCCATTTCGCGCAACTTTGATTTGCTTGCGAAAGGTAGGTTAGGGGAAAAGAAGCGTGAAAAAAAGAGACATGTAGATCAGATGGGTAATTGAGTGACAACTGGGAGCAGCAGTAACAGATAGAAACTATCCGGATCAAGTGTGAGGTGTAAGAGGAAAAAAAAAAAAAAGACCAGCGAACAAGGTGCAAGAAGTTGGGAGAGGCTGCTCTGCACTGTTACCAATATTGGTCCCACTCGTTTCCCTGTCTGTCCCGTGTTTCCCTCCCACCTTCGCTTTTGTCTCTTGTGTGCCAACTGCGGTGAGGCTCTCACCTCCTCCTCTCCTCCTCTCCTCTCTCCTCCCCTCCCCTCTCCCCATTCCTCTCTCTTCCTCTCAACCCCCTTTAAAGTCCCCCATCCGCCGTTGAGAGGAATTATTCTCTCCAACAATCAGGACGCGCTTTCAAGATGACGGACGTCTATTGCACTGTGAGTTTTACTACTATTCACTCCCCATTCCCTTGACGGCTGGCTGCCGTCATACCCAATTTTTTTCTCTCGATATCAGCTCATTGAGCCACCAAGTTTTTCCCTGTGTTCCGTTACATGTGGCTAACCGGACTTTGTTTCATTATAGCTGCTGTTGAGTGACAGTTACCTCCCAGGTTAGTCCTTTTTCCTTCCACCTTGAAATAGATAATTTTTTGTTCTTTTTACTCACGGATGTCTCAGGCGCCCAAGTACTGGCCTACTCTCTCCGCGATGGGGGCACACGGATGAAGCTCGCGGTTATGGTGACCTTAGAGACCTGTTCGGAGGAAACAATCGAGGAGCTGAAGGTTTGCTGAATGTCTTCCTATATAGTAAAAAGCGGTTAGTGTTTGTCTGAGAGCTCACTCTTTTTTTAAATTCTAGCGTCTTTATGACTTTGTTATCCCAGTGGAGCGTATCTGTAACGAGGCTACTACTAATTTGGCGTTGATGAACCGTTTGGACCTCAATGCTACCTTCACTAAGATCAATTTGTGGAAACAAACTCAATTCCGAAAGATTGTCTTTATCGATGCTGATGTTGTCTCAATCCGTCCTCCGGATGAACTGTTCGAGCTTGAGACCGACTTCGCTGTATGTCTCAGTTTCCCGTAGGGGCTCCCATGCAAGGTGCTAATTATACTTTTTCTTTCTCTAGGCTGCGCCTGATATTGGTTGGCCCGATTGCTTCAACTCGGTAGGCTTATATCTGTCAGGTTGATGTTGAGTGGTGGGGTGGCTAATGTTCCTTTAGGGAGTGATGTTGCTTCGTCCTCATATGGGAACTTACTATTCTCTCCTTCAGCTTGCTGGACGTGGTGTTTCTTTTGATGGTACGTCATTACGGCGCAGCCCCTCATTTGTTGCTAACGCTAATGAAATCAACAGGTGCCGATCAGGGTCTCTTGAACTCCTATTTCAAGAACTGGCATCGCATCTCTTTCACATACAACTGCACACCTTCCGGCCATTACCAGTGGGTCACAATATACTTGGGTGGATGAATTTTTTTTCTAATTCTTGTTTCTAGATACACCCCCGCTTTCACTCACTACGGAGCGAATATCTCTTTGGCACATTTCATCGGGGCCGAGAAGCCATGGAATATCGGGAGATCCTCTATCAAAGAATCCGGTTCGACCAATTCAAACGGTACGCCGTATCACCAGCTTTTGGGCTATTGGTGGGCGACTTGGGATAAGCATTTCAGAGGCTCGAATGACTCCACCACTGGTGGCTCTACCTATCAGGGGTCTGTCGGTGGGTCTGGATCTGGTTTTAAGCAAGCCTATTCGGGTCCCGTTGGAAACCAGGCTAGTCAATCGGGATCTCAGCAGCACGGAACCGGATCATCTGGTACTCAACACCAATCGCGAGCATCTGGGAAGGCCCCTGAGCGTGAAAACACTGAGAAGCTCGCCCCACAGCCCCAAACGCTGCCATTCCACGGGGTATTCCCCGATGTCGTTGATACTCCCCAAGGACCTGTTGACCAAGCCCAATTCTTTCAAACTGGTCCAGCCACTTATCAGGTTTCTGATGTTCAGACTGGGACCTCTGTTCCCCGATCGTCCTCTCCCCCGCGCCAACAGGAGCAGCAAGCACCCCCAGCGATGCCGTTCTCTACACCGTATTACAACTGGGATCCTTCTCGGTAAGTTTTCTGCTTTTGATTTGATTTGGATGGTGTTCTAACTGTTCCTTTAGCTCGGCTCCTCCGGCCGATAGTGCTCCAGAAGCCAACCGCTTCCCCCGCCAATTCTACCCCAATGAATGGGATAACCCTGCACCGGCATTCAAGACTCCAGCGCCTGCTCTCCCGCAGGGACAGAAGAGATGGTTTGAGAACCGCGAGAAGACCCCGGAGCCTCCACAGGAGCCCCCGCTAAGGCAGATTTTCCCATGGGAGAATAAACCAAGGACCACTACTCGCGTATTCGCCGATGACCCACCGGTTGATGAACACACTGAAGAGCTAGAAGACGATGAGGAGGAGGAAGATGAAGAGGAGGAAGAGGAGGAAGAAAAAGTACAGGAGGAGCAGGAACCCCCAATCACCAAGGAGGAGGCTACAGCATGGAGAACATTTGTTCAGGAAAATGAGTGGGATGCGATTCCAGGGATCCAAGACTACGTCTCGGATCTAAAGCGTCGTGGGAGTCACGTAGTCCAGTCTCTCGAGGCCAGTCCCCGCATCCCGGGATACTTCGTCCCCCTCGTTAGCCAAGAGAGACCATCTTTACCTGTGACACCGAATCCCATCAATAGAAGGGCCGCACAATGGACCGCTGAGGAGCAATCCCAATTCCCAAGTGCTCGTGGAATCCCCTCTCAGGAGGACTGGGTATGAATGCTTCGCTTTTAGCTTGAGACTTGGCAAATCTACTAACACTCCTTTAACAGGACCCTCATGCAAAGCTCGATGAGCTTAGACGCCTCCCGCCCTCTTTCATCTCAACCCTCAGCAACGCTGATGCGGCCAACGGTTCTACCCAGTCCGAAGCTCAGAAGGAAGACATTGTTCCCAAGGTTCAAGCACAAGCGGAAGTTCCCGCCTCCCCCCCTTCCCCAGTCTACAGCGATAGCTCGGCCCAAACCGAGAGCCCGAAGCTTGAGGATAGAGCAATACAGGTCGACGACATTCCCGATGTCGAGGACAAGAAGTCGTTGGCTGGCTCATCCAGCGCTAGCCTAAAGACTGACAGTGACATTTCGCTCGGAAAGCGTTCCATCGAGTCCCAATCACCTCCAAAGTCTCCCGAGTCAAAGGTAAGCCTTACCACTCTTGAAGAGGTGTGGATGGACCTGACATGTACTGACTCAATCATTTTCTTAACACTAGGAGAAGGAGAAGCGCCGTTCGATGAACCTTCAAAAGCTGCTACCCAAATACTGGGGCAGGACTCTCGAATCACGTCGGCATGCAACTTCGGGATAGTTTCGACACTCGCTCTGAGGTTGAGCCGAAGGCATAGATTGGATCTACGATGGGTATAATGTTTTTTCTTATTTCAGTTACGTCTTATTCTTTCAGTTCTGCATACTCTTGGGTTCTAGTCCTTTTTTTAGCTGGAAAATTTTCCGAAGTTGGTGGTTACTCTGCATGCTCTTGAAATTACGTGTGTTCACCTAGAGCGGTTTCGATATGTCGGCTACATGGGCAGCGTTGCGGATTTTATATCTCTTTCATGGCGAGTTCTTGCGTTATTTCTCCTTTTCAACATGCTTATGTCTTTACCGCCCCTTCGCTATGTCGCTTTCAGATGCTTTCCTATGATTTTCCTTAGGAAATGTGAATAAAGTCACAAAAAAAGTCTTTACATTTTGTAACTTAAATCATGTATTGCTTTTTTTGTTGGTGATAATTAAAAGGTTCACTACTATTTTCAAAAACATTGTCCTCTATCGCTCGTGATACTGTACCAAAACCCCTCGGATGAAATGACGCTATTTGATAATAGTGGCCGATGCAGGGAAAACCTGGAGAACTCCGTTGCAGGATTGGGTCTCGGTTGTTTTTTTGTTATCTTTTATCTTGGTATGACGTGACCTACACAGCTTCGGTTGTATTACCTACTCGAGTACTCGGGTACCGGTACTTGTACAAGGGTCAGACATTTAGTCATGACGCAGTGACAGGGATAGTTGACCCTTCCTTGCACGGGATGTTGGTCCCCGTATCGTACACCGATACAAGCCGGGATACGTCGGATGGGTACAAGCACCGACGAATTGTAAAGGAAAGATTTTATCAGTGATATTTGTACCAGCGCAGCATTGGAATTAAGTTAGCATTCATGTCACCATGCCATGGCCAAATGCCTGGCCTTTGTGCTTGTACTCTTCTCGTGGCTAAGCAGGCTACCTACTCACTGCAGCCACACACTAATTGGAGCTGGATATGCTGCTCATAGACCATCACGCTATGCCCGGAATTGAGCTGACCATTGTGATAGAGTGTTGGACTTTGACGGGCCTGCTGTCGACTGGGAGCGAGGTTAGTTTGGTGTGTGTTCTCGAGATCTTCCAGGTTTTGTGCGGTGGGTAGTTGGAGCAGGTTGTTCAGGTGCTGCGGTGCAGTACTGCCACGGGATTGCCGCTGAGCCTGGCAATGGCGCCTTCAAAGGCAGTAACTTACGAGTAAATAGGGATTTGATTCTCTCTGCCCACTGCCCCACAATCGGTAGTTAAACCCTGCGGAGGGGAAGCCTCCTTCTCAGCCCGCGTCCCTACCGGTCGAGTGGCTGGTCCCAGCTCTCGCCGGTCCGCATAATGCAACCCACGGGGTAACTCGCAGACATGCCGATTCGGTGTAAGAAATTGCTTATCACCTCGCAAAATTCCCTATCGTGCTTTGTTTTCTTTCGTTCTTTTTGCTTTGGCTGTGGTGCAGCGAGCCATCTTACCAACATTTTCTTGCTTCTTAGTTTACCACCCTAGGTCCCCTCGAAGGAAGGGAGAAAGGAAGGGGGGGGGGGGGGGGTGAGGGAAAAGGAGAGTTTAATTATGAGGATCCTAGTGATCTTGTCGTTTTTTGATGGTAGGAAGTCCAAGGGAGGAGGAGGTAGTGGGTGTTCCGCTTGCGGAACCTCAATCTCCAACGCCTACACCCGGGATCGCCGGTGACAGGTTACAAATTATTCCAGTAGCAGAGCAACCAGCGTCATCCGGGAAGCAGGAAACAGCAAATCGGCCACCGCCGCAGCCCGAGACTCCGGCGGGAGTGGCAACCCTTCCCCTCCAACGCCGATTCCGCCTTCACTGAGTTGCAGGACAGTGGGAATGGGGGAGAGGAAACTTCCGCTGGTACTGTTGTAGGATAGGAACCCGATTGGTCCTGGGAACCTTGCTATGCTGAATTCCGCGGGAACAGCAGGGAGGCCTGGTTGGCGGGGCCCACAGGAGGATAAGCTGACAGAATCAACACGACCTCCTCAACCTCCAGCCCCAACAACTCCTCAGTCTCTCCCACTGCCCCCAACTAGTGCCTTACCTTTGAAACCATAGATCCCACCTCCACCTCCTCCAGCTACTAGCCTACCCCTCAAACAACCTCTCCACCAGCAATCTCTACCACAAACAGCACCCACAGGATCAGGGGTCCTCAAACAACTGCCTAGCGGCCCACTCGGTATGGTCCTCCTAGTATCCCACTGGGAGCTTACCCAAACCCCTTACTAGAAAAACTCCCCCCCAGGGCGGGTCAGGGCCGAAGCCCTAGAACTTCCGAACAAGGGCAAAAAGATTCCTGGGAATAGTGGTAACCCCATACCGAGACAAAGCGATTGACGGCGACGGCGACGGGTGCAAGACCATAGCGGAGCTAAAGAATGACATGAAACGAGTGGAAGGGTTTAGCGTGGTGCGGTCCTATGGCACGCGCTTCCAGCAGATCCAAAAGTACATCCAAGCTATGAGGCGCTCGAAGATCCCTGTCGTCATCACGGATGGTTGAATGGTGGTTAAGTATTATCCCGAGCTTTGCAAGGCGAGTAATTACATGGCGGTGGATGTCAACCCGGACCAACTGACGGGGGATGCGGGAAAGTTTTAGGTGGGCGCTGTGCTGGGGTGTCATAAGTCAATAAGGGTTATCATGCTGGTGAGAAGTCTTTTGGTTATGATATCGTACCACTATTGTTACAAGCTTTGCACGGCTATATATAGTGATTACTAATAATCTTGTAGAAATCGGCTGGCCCTACGCTGCACTCCCGAACCCTAAAATACTAGACAAGCGCAAAAAAACTTAGCCCAGAAAGGATGGAGCTCTCTCAGGTCAATCGCTGAAGCAGTGGGTGGGAGCTGAGGCACCATTTACCTGATGTTGGTGGACCAGGGGTGGGAGGCTAAACAGGATCACGTTGACGATGCCAAGTTAAGTAGGTAACAGCCCAAGCCAGGGATGAGGGCAATTTCCATGGCAATGGGCAAATTATGTGGCAGTTTTGCATGATAAATTAGGTGTGTTTTGGTTTAGTTTCTGGTGATTATCGTGGACATAGGTTTTTTGGCTCATGGGTAATCACTCGGTTGTGATGGGAGCTGTTATCGGAGCTTCCTCGTGGCCATTGCCGGGGGGGGTCAGCAAGAGGGGAATGCTTTCACGCTAGTGTGAGGCGTTGGAGTTGACGCTTTTATGTTCAAGAAGGGCTTCGCGCCCCCTTCACATCCCATCACTGCCTCACACGAGAACGCTGTGACACCATTCCCTGTAGTACCGGGAGGTGCATATCTCCTTCTGAGTTGTAGTTTCGCAATCACCACTTAACCTGTGGCGTGTGCTGATGGCTAGGAGGGACTCATCTATCGTTTCGATAAATATAATGCTTGTTCGAACAGCGGAGGGGAGCTCCTCAGCATCCCTATAGCATACTTATAGCACCGGGAAATAAAGTGTCGGTAGGACGTCTCGACTGGAAATTTACACTTAATTCTTGGAACTCCCCCCTTCACCTCCAATAGTACAACCCACAAAATCAGCATTAGATGGCTCACCTTTCCCAAGAAATTCACAGTATCATAAAAACAGCACGATTTCACTTTCTCCGGTAACCTCACCCCCCAGATTTTTGATTGTCAGAGGGGCTGAGGTTGCCAGGAGGACCTTTTATCATAGTGTGGGGTGGGTGGGGTAGTGGCAAATTCCGGGGGGTCATGTTACGCTATCATACCCAAGGTATGTCTTCCCCACCCGTGCCTGCAATGGCTAAGAACGTGGAATGACAGGTGAAAGGTTCAGTGGGCGGATCTGTAGCCTGCAGTAGATCTGAGCCGGGCTTGTTCATCGGAATCTGCGAAGAATTATTCAATCATTTTGACAGGAGGGCGGAGCACCGGCGCACGCTATCCCCCATAGACTTCCTTGTTGAAGTCCGTGTTCTGGCAACATGGAGAAACCCTATTTGACTTAGTTTCAGGGCGGCTTCGGCCATCCGAAAACCCCAAGCTGTGTTCGAATAACTCAGAGTATGTTTTTCCATTTTTTTTTTTTGATTCGTCTCGTTGCTGATTCGAAACACCACCTCTCCCTGAGGTCTTCATGCCATATGCCTACTAGCTGCTTACACGTTTTTGCAGCTCGGTCGAGGCGATTATATGCCCCGGAGAACCGATATTAGAGAAAAAGAAAAAAAGCTCGATCCGGATCAGTGACTAGATCATAACCCCACAAACTCGAAACTTCCGAATCACTATAACTTGAAGATTGTGCATAGAGAGCGTTAACTTTGGAGACATCTTCGCCACAACAGATAAAACGGACTAATTTCCCTTGATAGGATGCGACCTTCCGAGAAGTGTCCTCTTTTCACTGCGGGTAAGTCGTTTGTTCAGCAGTGCGGTAAGCTACCTCTTAGATCGCTAGGGCCGGAATCTGATGCTTTCCAAACGAGTTATCATTCCCTATTCTGCATTAACCACATGAAAGAGAAATTTGACACTCTGCACAACCCGCCCGCTACGTTACCCCCGTCTTCTAGCAATTGCTGTCGCATAGCCGCTCAGGAAAAGCCTTTGAGAGAGGGGATTTCTCTGCCTATGGAGCTGCCCCCTCCGGTGCGGTCCCTGATAACGCAGTACGCCCCCTCCCTAGCCCACCGCAATTTCCGTCAAAAAGAAACTCCGCTTCACGAAGACTTTTTCTGAATACTACACCACGGGTACATGGCGCAGGATGAGCTATCTTTACGAGTGGGGGCCTCATGAAAGGACACTAGTCTTACGCGGGTGACCGGCAGTGAAGGGAGTACTCCCCTCTCTCGGCCGCGCGGGGTGAGCCTTGCAGCGTAGTAAGGAATGAAGGCAGGCTAGCAGCTAGCTGTGACTGGAACCGACGCACGGAGCCGCGCAGCATCTCGGGATTTGTCTCTCAGGTTTGCATCTTTATACAAAAACGATGGCCGTCCTTGATACTCGTGTTTGCCAGACTTTCATGTATAAGGTTGTGAGATCCATTCCTCTTGGAACTGAACCTCGCCATTGAATGTGCCTTAGTGGGGATGCAATCACAATACCGAATGAGACGTGGCCGAGTGCCAAGTTGCTGCGACAAGACGCTACGGATACAGCGAGGTGTTATGCTGTAGCTACAGACGCAGGCTTATATTCCCCCCTCATTCGTCTAATTTGGAGTCCCGAGGCTTAATAGAGACGCGGAAACAATCACAGAGATTCAATTGCCAATTTTAGTAAGAAACACATAATAGGAAAACAGTCAATAAGTTAGCCAGCCTTTTTTTTGTTTGAAATTACCTGCAACCCCTTCGCCCTAACCTCTTCCTTCTCTAGGCGCTACAAAAAAAAAATCGAGAAAAATCCCAGCGGTATTACAAGTTTGATCGCATCTTTTCTGCAGCAACAGACTTCCCCTAATCCTACACCTTCATTCTGTCCTAAAACGGCCATGTTGGATGGTCTTAACGATAGTGTGAAGGGGGAGGGGGAGGGGGAGGCTCGTTGGAAGATGGTGGGGGTGGAGGCGGTGGGGGTGGCGGGGCTAAGGAAGATGGCGGTGGTGGAGGCGGGTTTCCAGGAGGTGGTGGGGGTGGTGGAATGCCGAATGAAGCAGGGGGTGGTGGAGGGGCACCATAGCCTCCGGGCTAATGAAACGTGAGTGTTTGCATGGGTCTATTGCGTAGGATGGGAATAACTTACAGGAGCGCCATAGTGAGAAGAACCATAACTCATACCCGGAGCAGCCCCAGGAGCGCCAGAAGCCCATGGAGGCGGGGCAGCGCTCGAGGGAGGTGGAGGTGGCGGGATACCGTGCGTCCCACCCCATGGAGGAGGGGCAGAGGATGCTGGTCCAGTGGGCGGTCCATGGGATTGAGATTGCCAAGGTGCACCACTTGGCCCTGTTGGGGCATTTGTGGGAGGGGTATGGCTGTCTCCTGGAGCTCCACCGCGTCCACGTCCACTCATCTGCCATGGGGCAGGTCCCCCAGTAGGCCCGCGCTGCCACGGCTTCAGGGCACGACCGTCGGGACCAAGTTCCTGGTCATTTTGGTTGTCACGACCATATGCCCCTCCTCCATAACTTTCACGGCCACCATAGCCACCGTCCTGACCACCTGGACCAGCTTCGATACGGCCTTGCTGAGCAGCACCGCCAATAGCAGGGGCAGCGCCACCGGAAAGCTCTTGCATAAGTTGCTAAAAACAATTTTAGTACGATTAGCCCGACAGGTCTCGTGAATAACTACTCACCTCATATTCTCTGTCCACAGCATCTCCTTGTCCTAGACCAGCAGCGCCGGGTCTACCAAAGCCGCCAGCAGCACCACCACGGCCGCCTCTGTCGTTGTTGCGCCAGTCCTGGCCTCTCTGGCGATCAGGACAGTCCCTAGCCATATGCCCTGCGTTGCCGCAAACCCTGCAGATAATATTGGCGGTAAAGTTACGCTGCTCAGGGCAATCGTACTTGCGATGACCAATTTGACCGCCTATCAAAAGTTTCAGACCGCCAAGCTGTGAATATTAGAAGAGGTATTAACTCACAGTTTTGACAGGCTTGATTCTCATCATCACGAAGAGTCCCGTTGAGAGCAGCGAGCTCACGAAGCTGGTTACGCTTGAGCTCATTCTGGCCCTCGGGAATCGACGCAGCCTGAAGCGAAGAATGTTAGGGGTTTATGACGCAGAAACACAACAAATAGAAAACCAGGGGATAACATACAGTTTCAATGATAGTATTGATAAGCTTCTTGGCTTTGTTCACCTTCTCTTCAGTGTCTGCCATGATAAGGCAGTGGAGATCTTCTTCTTGGTTAGAGGTGTGGGCAGCATCGGAACGACCCTTCCCTTCCTTTACAGATCCTTTCCCACGAATGGCGATCTTGGCACCAGATTCAGTCTCCATTTTTTTGAGGGTGTTGCCACGAGGTCCAATCAAGAGTCCAACTATTAGTAACAGAAGAAATTCCTAGAGGTTAGCGAGATAATTCCCTGTCAAGTTATGCGTGCGTGAGGACTGTCAAAGTATGTTTTTCATATGAGTAGGCAATGAAGCTGGCGATGACTTTGTGGTTAAAAGGTCACCAAGCTCATTTGAGGAATGGTTATGGGATAGCAGAAATGTTAGGAGGGGAGTTAGTATACTAAAGTTAATCTCTGGATAATCATTTACTGGTACATAGATTTTCTCCTGTGTCTTTGTGGGTCTCCTATAATCACTCGGGGGGTGATAGTTGGGAATGGCTTTCATTGCCTTATCGATTAGTTTATGACGCTCATCTTCAAGGCGCTTGCGATAACGGTATTCCCGGGTATTGACACGGCGACCAAAGTTGTCATATTGTGGAGGTGGAGATGGCGAACTAATGCCCGGTTAAAACCTTCTAAGAGCGATAGGACAATAGGGATCACTTACCGGTCGCCGTCGGCCGGGACAACATCGTTAATCCTGAGCTTCTGGGAGATCTCCTCAATACGTAGATGAAGGGCGTATGCTTCCAGCTGCTCACTTGTCATTGTAGCAAAAATAGCGGTCGGAAGACCCATCAAGCCAGCTGCTTTATTGTCTGTCTGATCGCCCCAGCGATTCTTCTTCTTTCTCTTCTTTGGTCCATCCGGATCGGCTACACGGTCACGGGGTTTAGAATCGTGCCCACAAAGAAACCCGCGAGAATCGGAGAACAGAGGGAGAAAAACTTACAACGAATAGGTGATCGCCCACGCTTGAGGTCAGTGAGGCCATTTCCCCCTTGTTCATCCCGCGAGGATGGACCTCCAGGTGCTGGTGATGGTGAGTCATTGCTTCCGGTACTTCCTTCGCCTCCAAATCTTCTGCGGTTTCCAAGAGGAACATTATTTGTTCCAGTAATTCCCCCACCGCTCCCACGATAAGACATGATGAAAAGCCTGCCTGTTAAATCACGCACTAAAGTTGGGGTTTGATGTTGTAGATGAAGGTTAGAGGGTAAGAAGTGTGCAGGAGAGGAGGAGAGCACGTTGTGTTGAGGAGAAAGGGTCAAAACGTGGTAGAGGCGATGCTTACATAATCAACCATTGTGAAACGCAAAGGCTCAAAGGAGCCTGAACTACTCGAGTAAGTTAGACTAGCAAGCCACGCCTAGCATGGTGGCAGTGCCGATAGGCACGATGTGTGTAACCCCCTAGCTATGGAGTGGCTTCGGTGCAAATATTGAATCCGTTGTGGTTGTAAACTTCAAAATAGTCTTATTCACTGCCTACCAATTAGAAAAAAAGAAAAAAAATCGAAGTTGGGGGGTTAATTGCCTGCCCTCCGCGGCTTCTGGAACCATACTCTAAGGGACTCGAGGGGGTACAGTACGGCACCTTGCTTTTTTGGAGGAGGTACCAGTCCTCTGAAGGGGTGTAATTGAATGCCCACACCTTTTGTGGGTGTTGAATCAGGGCGATAAATAAAAATTGCTAGGTGATTGACTATTCAGCGAGGTCAGTTGTCCCTAGGAATAGATGCGAACCTGAGACCCTTCATCTCTATAGGGGTCTTAGTCTAAAATCATTCTACTCTGAGATGTTCTGGTTACCACAATTCTCCACAAATACTAAAGGGTTGATTATAATGGTATGGGTGGGGATGAACTGCGAATGAGATGTGCAACTTTTCCTGCTTACTGTAATGTTCGGATCCCCCCACGAACACTTGTGGTCTCATTTACGGCAGTTGCTAGTCGGTATAACCTTTCAATCAGTATATTAAGCAGGACACTAGCCTCAGGCTTGCCGATTTCTCTGATAGGATAACAGCACTGTTGGATGTCCCGGACTGAGTCGGGTGAGCGGCACTTTCGGGGGTGTGGACGGCCAGAGTTGCCGAAGACACCATTCCCCGACTGGTAAGGCCCAATGTGACATTGCTGAAATGCCGAGGGGGCCGCTAGTCTAACTAGAAATCTCTCTTCTCTGCGACTTATCTACCCAGGCCCCGGCGATGGCCTACCGGTAGAGTAACGTGCACATTATCAATGGGTGTGATATCAGGCCGCCGCACACAACCTACCGTGTGATACTGTATTTTCTAACGCTGAAGCAGCACTATTGGTACTTCTATATTTTCTTCACTTAAGGAGAAGGGATAGCTGGCGCGGGGGGCATCACCAAAGACATAATTATTATCAATATTGTCATTGCTTCGTATCACTACACTTTTCATAGCTGACGGCTATGAAGCTAGCTGATGCTGTACTACCGGTATGTGTGTTGGCGAGCGCCCACCCGCATTGAGAGGGTAATCCCGATTCCTTATTCAATCAAATATATTATCCGGTACTGGCTTCCGAATAGACAAAAAGAATCCGTGTCAGGATAAGCATAGGAGGATTAATGCCTAAGAAATTAATACAGCACCGGTACTCATGGGGGAGCTCATGCCCGCGGGTTTACACTCATAACTTTTCGGAGAAGACTGAGGGGGACTGATATAAGCAAACTTTGGCATCATTCTTATAATATCCACTCGAGGGAGAATGGGAGGGACGGAAGGCTGCATAACTTCTCGAGGAGCCAAGAAGGGGGATTAAACATAATCTCATGGAAGGAAAACAATAAATCAATAACGGCTTGATGTGCCGGCTCTTTCCCATTCCTAGAACTTGACGAGGCGAGGAGGCGTCTGTGCCGTAAGGGAAAATATGTATTAGGCTAGCTACTGGTAAGAAACCTGAGTGGCTTGTGTATCACTGAAGTAGATGGTAGAAGATTATTTGATACACCAGTACTGACAAGTATGATAGGCATTATGCCTGTTAGGAGGGCCACTCAGTGAATATCAGGAATTGATATAACTTAAGAAACACGTTCATGCGGGCCCGGAGGTCCCCTGATATGCCCAGTGGGATAATTAAAAGCAGAAAAGGTTACTATTTTAATTTTAATTTTATTTTGGCTATGAGCAGGCTGAAAGAAGAACCTTGAGAGTCCCATTTCTCATCTGTGCAGCCCAAGATTGTCGCTAGCGCACTTATACACTGACAAGTGTATAATAGAAGGGTGATGGGAGGATGACATTAAATTATCTTAAGTTTACCACAATATACTTGGGGGACTTTTGTCCAACCCCCAAGTCAGTTCTTCACCAGTGCAAATACAGTACAAGACAATGGGCCAATGACAGTGGCAAGAGATTGCCAGCTCCGAGAGGTTGGACCCTGGTTTGTCCCTGCGGACACCATGTATCATGAAGTATCCCTTTCTATGGATTTCCTGATGATGTGTGAACGGAGCCCAAAGTGTTGGGATCGGTAAGGAGACTGTGGGTTGTAGTTGATCGTGGTAGATACAGGAGGGGTTATGGAAGGTCAAAGTTGTTTTTTAGAGGCTACGGGAGCCCGGAGATTTGGTTGGGAGCATGAATGATTGATATGTCAGTTTAGAGATGATTTTGGGAGCATGTCTTTTCTTTGTTGTCACTGGAGTGTAGTGAGGAAATTAGGCATGTGTAGAATCACAGAGATTTTATAGGCGCAGTGATACATAGAAGGGTTCTTTTGCTTTAACTGTGTTTTACTTACACAGCTTACATTACCGATTAGTTAGGCGGTTCAAGGAAAACGAAGTTTATGCTCATAACTTTCTTTTCCTGACCCCATAACAGAAAAGTCCTATTATATCCCGTTCAGTCTACTGCTGCGCAACACCTTAGTCTATTGTCCTCCAAGGCAAGGGTCACAATCGGGCCCTTTAGATTGTTAACTACCCTTATATCCAAGGGCTAAAGATCACAAGATGCCTACCTTGTAGCGCTATTTCGAGTGAAAGAGACTAGAGCATCACTGTAACCATTGTCCATATTGGACTAGCCTTATATTTTCTACTGGTAGTAACTTTTCGTACCTACTCGCTTTGAGAAAATATGGTTGGTCTACAAGGTGGCCACCCCCCGAGCGGGCTGCTGAGGGTAAAAAAAATCTTGCTGCTACCCCGCCGATTGCGGACCTCACCCCTTGGTGTACAGTCTAGAGCTGGATTCTACCACCTCGTAGCAGGACAGAGTTGGCCTATGGCATTATTGAGGAATGCCTAGAGCTTCACTTTCTCAGTTCCCATCGGGCAGGATTTAGTGTTTTCCCTGCCCTGCATGGCTGATCGTTCAATAATAACCCTTTACAAGGCGGGATTTGAACTCCCGAGCTCCTGCTAATTGCACAGTGGTTAATTGGTCCTTGAAATATTAACCACTGCACAGGCTAGGTATTTCATGTAATATTACTATAAAAACCAATACTTATCCTTCTAGTAGGACTGATTTTTTTTTTGCCTGAGGTTGGAGATAACAATATTATACACACTAAATAAAAACCACCGGGTGCAGTATCGGAGTAGATGCACCATCAAGAGAGGAGAGAAGATATTATAAACATTGATCTCTAATAGCTAAGGATAGTCCCTTGGCGTGCAAAGGAGTAGGCGCATCGGGAATATCAGCGATGAGAAGAGATAGGTTTTTTGGTTGTGAGAAAGGCAGGATTTGGAAGGGGTTATAGATTACAGATACATTGCCAAAGGTTATTACGGCAGGCCCCCGTGCACTGGTAAATGCATAACGGCAGGGTACTGTGATTCAATACTCGTGACTTATGGTACCTTCGCTCAGAGCATTGCGTTGCATCCGATTCTAAAATCTGGCGTCACGAGTTAACTGGTTGCGCTGCCTACCCCAGATCGGTCCGGTAATTAAATTAACTCTGGGGAGCAAATCACTAATAATAACTTGACCCCATGCCCAACACCCCAACACGCCTTCTACCCATTCCCAACACACCTTCTACACCTTCTGCGGGTGGTGGGACATTGGGCCTGATAGACATTTCCAAATACCCAGAGGCCGTAAGCCTATGGAAAATCGACTTTTATGTTGAAAGGCTTGCGGAAGTAATAGGATAGATGGGGAGACGTGTTGGCTCCTACGATGCATTTTTTTAGGTTTTTTAAAAGTCACTTTTGGGCATCAGTCAGGCTGTTTTTTTTTCTTCCGCGCGAGCTTTCGGTCTTTTCATCTTTATCTGTAGGTTGTCTTGCCAAACTAGCTTTCCGGTGTTTTTGCGTAACTTTGCTCTTGTATCATATCTGGCTACATGATTAGGCTTTCCCCGGTTGTCCGGGAGTCACCTGCCATGGAAACTAAACCCGCAAGTCACTTGACGAGTGACAAGGCATGATCGCCTCTCAACCACTCATCCCTTCTCACCACAGTTCCAACAAGGCAAGTAATAGCAGATTAAGGAATGGGATGTATTCATTAAGTCATCAGTCAATGAGTGAAACAGCCATACACAAAATGCGCCTACCCTCAAATCCTCATTCTCCCATTCGGAATCAGCTACCGTAAAAACTCGAATACAAGAGAAATGTGCTAGGACGTTGCAGTTGCCTCTCCTAGTATGGCGCCGTGTATATTCCTTTTGTTTTGTCTTAGCTGAGGGCTGGGTTTGCGGTGTTTTCCCACGCTTTGTCGAGAAGGGGAATTCCAACGTCCTAGCACATTTCTCTTGTATTTGAGTTCTTACGGTACTCGGCTAATAATAAGGAAAAATAAATATTGCCATGCGCAGAGCGAGCCGGAAAATACACCCCTTAGCCATCGCCCACAATGGCTTGCTGAATTACGACATATTGAGGGTTATACCAGTCTTGGGAGTAATCAGTTCTACAGACCCCACGCAAGAGTTAGCCATCGCCCCCACACTATCAAAGCCGAGACTATCAAAGCCGAGGAAGCATGAAGAAAAGAAGGAAGGCAACACACCAAACCAGTCAAAATAGGTCGGATCAACACCCCTAGTTGCAACAACCTCGAAGTCCATTCTCTGCCCATGATTACAAGGCAAAGGCCCACCAGTAACAACAGCAGGTGAGAAATCCGTTGGTTGCTATCTTCAGGGTTAATCGCTATCACAAGACCGCCGAAGTAGAAGTACGGAAGGGGGGGGTGCATACATAGATAGTCCAAAACGGAGTGAAAGGCGGGTACCTTGGCGGCCGGTTGTTCCAATTGGTCACACCGTTTATAATCTGTCCGTTGAACCCGTAAACGTCGAGCCTCCCGGACCCACTCACAGCATTCGGGTACCCGCCTGGGACAGGCGCCGGGAGGACAAACTCGAGGGCGCAATTATGCTCGGAACTCTGGGGAACATCGAAGCCAACTATTGTGCGTTGTTTTTACCCATTCGTTATCTCCGGTGCAGGATAAAGCCGAGGATAGGGATAAGGAGTCTTACCAATCATCCTCTTCTCATTGCCCGTGGAGTCATCGCCACTGTAGTCGATTGTCGCGGTGTATTGAGTGAAGTACGCGGTATCAGGGGTGCTCTGGTTGATTGGGATGAGGTAGTTCGGGAAGATGGTAGTCGAACGCTTTTGCAAGTTCGTGGTGGGGGCGGCAAGAGTACTAGTGAGTAGGGAGATGAGGAGAGCGAGGGTGAAATCGACCTTCATTTTGGGGGAATTATGGAGAACGATTGAATTTTTCTCTGCTGGAGGTTTATTGATTGACTAGGAGGGAAGAAGGCGAAAGGATGCTTCTCGATGGTTAGGCAGTTTAGTTAAGAAACCTACGAGGAGTGGAGAAGGAAATGCCAGTAGAGTGGGGCTGTTTGGGGGACTTTATATTGACTTCCCCTCATCATATCTTTTCCTTTACCGACTGCTGTTCCGTGTGCTCACCCACTAGACCCTGCGACTGAACGCTGGTAACTTAGAATCTAGAGAGGTTTTGTTATGCTCCTGTTTTGCGGCACCTTCTGGTATAGCAATTGGGGGTATCACCTGACGGGTATAGCATCTCCTAGGCGAAATACCCCCACTAGCTATCGTATTATGCCTATCGCGGAGCTTGTACAGTTCACACCCAATCCATAATCCACTTCCACAGACCAAACCAGATCACAAAACAACCTTCCCGCAATCACCCTATGTCTACCAACTATACCATACTGCACCCCGACGTCACCACTGATTTCACTTCACCCCTCCCCTCCGGTATCCGGACCTCCTGTTCAGGCCCATACCATACCATACCACACCATGCCTGGTGTTAATCACCCCGTAAGTTACCGGTAACAATCTAGATCCGGGGGGGGGAAAGAAAGGAGGAAACAATTGATTCAAACCTGCCCTGGCCTGGATGAGCTAAGCTACCTACCACCCACCTATCGGGTGCTGGCGGATAAGATATAGTGTTAGCATAGTGTCAGCGTTTGCAGGGGTGTATATTCAATTGCGGGATGAAGTTACCTCTACAGTACTGTACTGGTACAGTGCAACCGGTGAGAGCCCTGGGCGATCAAGCAACCGAGCGACGGCGGTGCGAGTACTTGTACAAAAATAAGGGATTACCGTACTAGATCGGGATGTATCTATTGATCATATGGCTCAGTGCAAGTGCAGGGTTATTATTTCCTCAATATTTTTTTCATACATTCGGCATTAGTTGTGTAACGCTGGGGAGTTGTTCGTGGATTGGCTAGAATGAATACGAGCAACTTTAAGGTTTCGACGGTGGGTTGGTTGGGGTGGATTGGGAACGGACGTGGGAATGTAGCGTAGCTGCGGGGTCCTCCACCGGAGCTGCTTATGCGATAGTCTTCTTTTTTTTTTGGCTAAAGCCATCAAGTGGCAAGGAAGGCATCATGGGATCTCACGCGGGTGGTAGCAGTAACTTACCTATGGTGCTTTCCTATGATAGATATCCCCTCGACTAGTAACTTTGGATCGTTGGGCGAGGTTCCGGAGGTAAGAGCCAGGATTCATTATGCGTAGCCAGGAATAGGAAGAGCCAGGGACCTATTAACTAATGGCACGGGACATCACGAGTCTTCCACCCCCCGAAAGGAAATCTAAAGGCTAGACTCGCGTTCATGCCACTTTCTCCCTCATACTATACATACATAAGGACTGGAGCATTCTCCATTCGTACCCTCGATAGCCGTGTAATCGCCTGTCACTCCTTTGCCTCTTTGCTCTGATAGCTTAAGCCATGCGGGCAATCTCCCGAATTTTGTTCTTGTTGTTGGGGTATGGAGGTGTATCCCAACCGGGTTGAGCAGGACTGTTCTGCGGAATCAGATCGAACGATGTTGGTATTCAAACTCGTACCATATGATGGTCATCACCCTAGGGTACCATACTGTACATAACTTTTACGGTGCCTGGGGAATTATTTGCCTTCAATCGGGCAACTTTACGTTAAGCTGTGCTTTTCTCTATGGCGGGGGTATTGAAAAAAGGAAAAAGATATAACTCGAGTATTTATACGACGCTTCCCTAAGCCGCAATCCCCCCCTGTTGAGTTGGTTGTTGCCGTGCAGGCTATCGTAGCATGAACGAACCCCAGTGAGTGGAGCCAAGCCGGGAACTCCGGCAGTCAATCGTACCCTGATGGTACTACTCTGGACCGTTAGGGAGCTACAAGGAAAAATGAAGGATGATCTATAATAAATTTAATAAGGTATGGTAAATTAGTGTTGTTAAGGTAGTATACGGTAATTCCACAAAGTGATATGCTCAACCACAGAGAACGGGAGCTTGATACTGTTGAGGTAATGGATGTTCTAGGGGAGAAAGCATTATGCCGAGGCAGCACCACACCATTTCGATTAATCCTAAGTATTTCCGGCTATCTCTAAGTTGAGATACTAGGGTAAGCTAAGAAGGTTCGGTAGAGGGTTTACTTGAGTGGGATAAGGAATAGCTTTCCCAATTGAAAGTGTTGAATATGCTGAGAAGCATTCTGTGTTGGGCGGGGGTTCCTTGGCCGGCGGCAGCTGCATGGTGGATTGCACAACTGAGGGTCCCTTAAACTGCGTAGCATTGCGTACATCTGGTGACTAGAATGTATATATATCTGTGATGTTTGTCTGATTGTCCTCGCTTACAACAACATCTATTAAATCAACATATGACTTCTCAGGATATTTCTCAACAGGTTATGAGCCTGGCATTGACGCTTCCACTACTCCTCTGAGCTCTTATATCTTAAGCGAGTGAATCCATCACCTCTTATCATCCGATTCTCTTCAAACTCTAAAATCTCCATTCTTACTCTTTCCTACTACTGCCCTGCCTTTTTTTTTTACCTTACCGTAGTTCTCTCAAAATGGGATCTTACTACCGCTCCAAGTATGCGGGAGAAATTCCACTTCTCAATGATACAAACTACAATATCTGGAGAAATGCTGTCATTATTCATCTACAGGCGATCGGAGCGTTTGATCATATTCTTGGAACTGATGCTTCCGGGGAGGACTTGGCTGAGCCCTCTCCATTACACAATCAGGTTGAAGCAAAAGCTAAAGGTGTAATACTAGGATCTACGTCACCGTCATTCAGACTCTATCTTACAGGTCTGATGACAGCTAAGGAAATGTGGGAGACACTAAAGCAGCGACTTGATAAAACTACATCAATCAATGGACGTCTAGCATTACGCAGACAGTTTCTAAGTGCTGTACCAGCACCCCGAAGGCCCTTGGGAGAGTTCATTTCTCAGCTTCATGATATACGGTTTCAACTTTCCAGTAGTGAACAGCAAATTGATGATGCCAGCTTCAAGGACAAGCTGCTCAGCTCACTTCCATCAACCTTTAATAACCTTGTTGAAATCATTCATGAGCGAGAGACTGACCTTTCGGTAGAAGATGTAATTCGAAAGATTCAGCAATCAGAAATCGCGAAACAGGGAGACGTTCAATCTAACAACATCTCTAATATAACCGGAGAAGCCTTGGCAGCAGGTATTTAGAGAGCTGGCCGACCAGGAAGATTTCCGGGAACTCCCCGGCACCGGTTTGATAACCGTTTCGCTCCGTATCCAAATAGCAGCCGTCAGTTCACTGGTACCTGTTTTCGGTGTGGAGACAGAGGCCATCGTGCTAGTTCCTGTACAGGGAACCATCTGCTCTCAACCCATGAGACAGGAAAGCATGCCTCAAGTCCCTCTGGGCAGTCTAGTTCACATGCTATAGGCAAATGCTTTGCCTGCGGTGAATCTGGGCATAGGAGCCGCAAGTGCCCTTACAGTTCCCTCAGCCAGGATCAGGCGGCAAGGGGTCGAACAGCATTGCTTTCTTGGCACAAAGCCAATGTACGGGAGCCAAATTCAGTACCGATTACTCGTCCAAGTCAGGCAAATTTGGCAACGGGGGTTCAAGAAAATCTTTCTGGCATACATTCCAACAAGCTGTTTAGCCCATCAATACGCGACCAGGAAAGTCCCCAGGCTTTATGACTAGCCGACAAAATGAAATACTACTATAGTAAACTAGACTACCCGAAACTATTATATACAACAGCTTCCTTACCAGAAGTAGAAGATAAAAGTGGAAGAGAGGAGCTATTTACCATTACGGGGGCAAATAAGAAACAATTAAAAGATGTGTGGATTCTAGACTCAGGGGCATCAGATAGCATGTGGAATAAGAGGTCAAGTTTTTTAACTATCTGTCGCCTACAAGAAAGACGACAAATTCTGCTAGGAAATGAGACAACAATTACAACAGAGTTCTCCGGAACAGTTGATATACTAGGCTTGAAGTTAGAGGCGTTCTATGTTCCTCAACTGCGGGTGTCTCTGCTGTCAGTCGGACAATTGGGAACGTTAGGATATGATCTTCTTTTTCAGGAAAAGGCCTGTTACCTAGTAGATAGGTTGGCAAATCAAGAGCAGCAATCGGAGAGCTCAGGTTCATTGAAAGTGCAAACTTTCTATCCCTTTGCATTTCTAAGCGATGGTCTCTATCGAGTGGGCGATACAGAATATAGAGGTCTAGAAGTTCACAACCAGTTACCCGAGACTGCTCCAGCCTTGGTAGCAGCAGCAGGTCATTCTGGCAAGATTTACCGGAATAATTTGTGGGACTATTGGCACCGTCGATTAGGACACCTTAATGATAAGGCATTGACGAGATTTCTGGAATTAATTTCCACAAGTAGGGGCTCCTCTATATGTAGTACACTTGAGCCGGATGGAGAAGACTATTGTGTTACATGCATAAGGTCTAAACACCGGAGAATATATCCTAAGACTTCGGATAGTCATACATCGAGGCCATTTGAGCTACTTCACTCTGACAGCTGTGGTCCACTTCCATCTTCTAAGTCTGGAGCACGCTACTATATTCTATTTATTGATAACTTTAGTAGGAAAACATTTGTATTTTTCCTTACAAAGAAAAATAGTGACTCCTGCACAGCCGCCTTCAAGGAACTCTTATGTTACTTAACCAGTCACTATCCAAACTATCCAGTTCTGCGGTTTCGTTCAGATAACGGACGAGGTGAGTATGACAATACTCTTTTTAAACAAATACTTCAAGAAAGAGGGATCAGCTTTGAACCATCCGCTCCTCATTCACCACACCAGAATGGTGTTGCAGAGCGTAAGGTTCAAACGGTCAACACAAGAGCATGGTCTATTATGCTTGATTCCGGACTTCCAATAGAGTTTTGGGCAGAGGTTGTGAATACCTCAGTCTACTTGCAGCAATGGATTCCATTGTCTTTCTTAGATTTCCAAAATTCCAACGCTGTCCTTCAGTCCGCACTTAACAATAGTACTGAAATGGGGTCAGAACAGATACCAAACCAGAAACAACTTCAACACCTACGGAGAATTGGTTGTATTGCTTACCGCCGGATCCCTGATGAAGATATAGAGTCTAAGACAGCATTAAAGTTTGGAGCAAGATCAAGGCTTTCGA